TTCTAAGTTGTTGTGGGAACCAAGTTTCCCCATCTCTCTTCTGCAGAGTAGCATCATGCATCATTTGTAAGACCTAAAGTTTAATAGCATGGATATTCTTACAGCAAAAAGACATTTTAGGTCCCTTTCCACTGGCTTTTTGCTGCTTTAAACCTTCAGTTTTCTCTTCTCAATAGCAAACTGGATCATTGCAAGCCTAGTTGCATATGGGTAGAGTTACAAAATAAGAATGGGCCCTAAAGTACTTGGATGGAGATGGTAGAATTACCAGGCATTTGATCCTTTGAGCTCGATTCAAAAGTAGGCAAGAAGAGTCACCTGGGGCCATCCATCAGGAAATGGGTGTGGAAGGAGATGAGGCAGGCCCCTGAATCCATATCATGTGACAGGAGAATCAGATAAGAGCATCATGACTCTGGGAAGTGGTGATGGAGGAACCCTGGACATGTAGGCAAAAAGGCTTAGACCAGAAAAGGTCTACCTTCCATTTAACACTAGCTATCACCCTACAAATGTCACTTCTCTTCATCTTCTAAACAGGTCTTTGGTATATACTCATACCCATTTTAAAGCTGTGAAATTAGAGATTTAAGGAGGTCAGGTAATTTGTCTAATGTCCTAGAGCCAAGGTTTGCATGTGGACTCCAGAACCCATGTTGATATTCTGGAGATATTCAGGGGCTACACTCCCATCTTATTCTGGAAGCCATCATGGTCTCCAAGCCTAGTGCACTGATGGGGAAAGAGGTTACCAATGTACTGCCAGGTCAGCTTTCTTTGCTGTGGTACCACTCAGGAGACTGAGGCCCCGTATGGCCAGAGGAGACAGGTCTGGAACCACATGAGCTCACACACAGAGATAATGGGGTAGCACTAGAGGTCTGTATATGGGCTGTGATGTTCTACTTAGGGACCCTTGGTCCTGGCAAATAGCTTCACCCTCTTTATTCCCCCACCTTTGGCCATTTCACTCCCTCTTCAGGCTTCTTTTTCATGCCCCCACAACATGTCTGCAGTGATTTGAGGAGGTTCATGCACTTTCCCATGTCCCTCCAAGCTTGTAATTCCACAGAGTATATTCTAAAAATAAAAGAAGCTATTCTGAAGTAGGAATATTCATCTGCTCAGAGCTAAGCTTCTGGGGAGCTCCAGGCAGTCACCGACACATCTGCAGAATCTGCCCCATCTCTTATGGAATCTGCACTGCAGTCTCTTGCCCTAACCTAGAAAAACTGCAGCCCAGCTTTATAGCATTGCATGACTGGTGCAGCTTCCCTCCATCTCCAGTTCATTAAAGATAAAATACAGATTTAGTAAGGATCAAAGCAGATAATGCTCCAAGCATCCCTAGAGCAATAGTGTTACTTGGGAGTCACCAGTGAACATTTGGGGTGGGAAGGGAAGGGAGGCTAAATGGGCCTGAGGAGCTAGGAACTGTGGGAAGAAGTTACCGAGAAGCAGAGTGTGGTCGGTCATATGAGGACATTCTTTCAACCAGAGCTCTTCAGAGATGAGGTGAGCTCTTCTGCAAGGTAGTGAGTTTCTTGTCTCTGAAAGTGGGACTGGAGCAGCACTTACGGTTTGGGGGAAGGGCTCACCCCTGAAACCCTGGCCCCCAGGCAGCCAGAGGTTCCCATGCCAGACCTTCAGTGACGGGAGCAGCCAGCACAATGGAACAGAGCTCTGGGAGTAACTAGTTCTTGGGCCTGACTCTGAAGAAAGCTGTTAGCTCCATCTCATCAACTCCAGAGGACCATTCCAATGTGAACTGGTGAAGGAGGAGGGTGGTAGTTCCTCACGTTAGGAATCTGGGTAGTGATATTGACCCAACTTAGCAAGGAGTCGAAGAATGAATGAAGCAAAGCAGGATGTTCATCAGGATCTGGAGAAGGGCCAAATTCACATTCTGAGCACAGTGCTAGGTCAAGCGGTAGATCTAGCCATTAGGATGCTCAGGGGCAGCTGGGAATCTAGAACTCTGGGAAACTCGAATGATGTGCCCTAGACACAAAAGGTGTGGAGGAAGGTGGAGGAGAGTGGGAGGAAGTGTCAGGGAGGGAGGACTCCTTTGCTCAGTGCCCCTGCCAGTGGGCAGAGATACCCACCCAAGAAAGGCCAGCATTGGCCTTGTACAGGGAAGGGACTGCATGTCTATGCCTAGTGAGGCAGGTGAGCAGGAGCTGACTCTTGCAGCAAGGCTTGGTGATTGCTCCTTACACTGCCGTCCGCTCTGAGACCATGGCATCCCATCGCCTGAGGGCATCTGGGATTAAGCCAGATTTGTGTTAAATTTGTTAGGTGGTCAGTCTTTGGTTTAAAGCAGATTCTCAATATTTAGGGTGTGTCAGATCACCTGGGTGGCTTTTTAATCCCCAGATGGCTGGCTTTACCCCAAGAGTTTCTGATTAAGAGGGTATGGTGGGGCCTGAGAATCTGCATTCCTGACAAGTTCCCAGGGATGCTGACACTGCTGGTCCAGGGACCATGCCTTGAGTACTTCTGGTACAAAGTTAATGCTAAGGCAAAGAGTGCCCAGTAAAGTGGTGCTTGCTCTCCTCCATACCATACTCAACAAATGTAACACCTCCTTGATTTCAGTTACCAAGTCAAGACCTAGAGATATCCCAGTAAATGAGACAGAATCCCTCATGGCAATGGACTGTATTCTAGAGACATGTGAGTGGGGTTACAAGGCAGAGTAAGTGCCCGGGCAGGGAGAGTGAGCATGTGAGCATTTGTGCACATGTGTACTGAGGCATACAGTTCAGGGACACTTGAGAAAGTTTCTGGACCATGTGGCCTTGAAACTAGCAGCTGATTTAGGCTCTGAAACCATGCCTCAACTCTTAGCTCTGCCCACTGGTAACTGGCTGACTTTAGGCGAGTTGATTAAGTTCTTTGAACCTCAGGTATCTAATCAGTCAAATGACCCCAAGTCACTGAACACCATGACCATCAGCATGTCCTAGGCATATGGCCACAGAGAGAGCGAGCCTGGCATCCTGTCCCTGCTCCCAAGGAGCTCACACTCTGCTAGTGGCAGTGAGATTGGAGACAGGGCATTACCAGGCAGATGCATAAATAAGCTAAGCTGCAACAACAAGGACAGGGAGAGATGCAGGAGGGCCGATGATTTTAGGGAAGGCTGCTCTGAGGGGGTCACGTTTGATTGGAGAGCTGGCTGACGAGAAAGAAGCTGTATTTTCTATATAGGTTGTGCTGTGCAGTGGACATTTGAGCAGACATGAGTTAAATAACTCTGATGGTCAACTGTCCACAACAAAATATGCTTATCAGCATCATCCTCATCTCCCTATTATACTTACTGTTTTTATCTTCATTATAATTACTATAATGAAATTACTATAATGCCAGAAAGGCAAGCATATAAAGCCAGGCCCAGGGGAGAATGGCCTCCAGGGCACATTTGGAGAAGTTGTAGGACAGTAGCACTGAAGCAAGAGCATTCAGTGGGGGCATGAAAGCTCAGTAACAGATTTGTGAACCAGGCCAGACCCGGGACGTTGTCCTCAGGAGCCACTGGAGAAATCTGGATAGCAATGTGACGTGTGTTCAAGTTTGTGTTTTAGACATAACACTTGTCGCTCTCCTCTGAGTGCAGCATTGGGAGTGGGTGGGTGTGAACAGGATGGCAGGCAAGGGGGAGAGGCCCACAGTCTGCACCAGGAGAGAACAGGGGGCTGGGGACGACAGAGAGTTAGGAGGGAAGAGAATGGAAAGCAGGCTGTCCTTTGGACTGGGGAGGAGGGGCTTGGGCAGAGGAGGAGGGCTGCCGTGCAGCCGGGAGGCGCCTCTCCCTCACAGCCCTTCAGGCGACAACCCAGAGGAAGATAAACCGAGGAGGCAGACAGGCAGGGAGAGTGAGCATGTGAGCATTTGTGCACATGTGTACTGAGGCATACAGTTCAGGGACACTTGAGAAAGTTTCTG